AGGATGTTGTCGTTATTCAAGAAGTCTCCACAAGATTGAAGGAGCAGAGGCAGCTCACGAGTGATGGATTTACCGCAGCCACGACTCTAGATGGGCATCTAGGTAATTGGTTAACTCGAGAGGCTCAAAAGTCTTATCTCATAAGGGTTGACATTCAGAGAGACCGTGATGGTCTAAAGAAGGAGGTGGAAAGGTTGACCAAAGAAGTTGAAGCAGTGAAGGCATAGATGGTGGATGTATGGGCAGAGAACCGGGCACTCAGATTGGTGAACGAGACCCTTAACAGGGTCAATGAGACCCTGAGAGTTCACGTTTAGACGCAGCAGAAATTGAAGGACATGAAATGAAGTCCCAGATCAGCAGACTTTTATCCACTATGGCAGTGGATTGGACGAAGAGGAGGCGTGGGAAGGACGAGTTGTGGAGGACCTGTTCAAGGGAAGGCAGAGAGGACAAAGCCATGCTGGACAGGGTGGTCATGGAGCCGGCTGAAGTTGAAGCCAAAAAGAGAGTAGAAGAGGGGAAGTTTGAATGGCAGGCGCCCACCGTACTGGCCACTCAGCAAGTGCCTACTGGGACTGGCCTTGAGGTGCAAACATCGGAGAAACAAGCGGGGAAAGCAAACAAGAATTGAATGAGGATGCAATCAATCAGAATATCAGACAACTAGAAGAAGCATTGCAGGCAAAGAAGAAGAAGAAGGAATCCATGGAACAACAAAGGAGAAAGAGAGAAGGAGAAGAAAGAAAAATGAATGAAATCCGATGGTAAGAACGGAAGAAGGAAGTGATGTTGCAACTCTCATTCAGAATCTGACTTCTTAGTTGGTTCACCTAGAGATGAAGTTAGACCAAGTCATTGCCGATAAAGATCTGCTTTCTGCCCAACTGGCTACGTTGACCAAGTCAAACAAAAGCAGCCGATGACCAGAGAAGAACACGAAAAGACCGGAGAAGTTTGAATCCAAAAAGAGAGCAGAAGAGGGGAAGTTTGAATGGCAGGCGCCCACTATACTGGCCACTCAGCAAGTGCCTACTGGGACTGGACCTGAGGTGCAGACATCGGAGAAACAAGCGGGGAAAACAAACAAGAATTGAATGAGGATGCAATCAATCGGAATATCAGACAACTAGAAGAAGCATTGCAGGCAAAGAAAAAGAAGAAGGAATCCATGGAACAACAAAGGAGAAAGAGAGAAGAAGAAGAAAGAAAAATGAATGAAATCCAATGGTAAGAATGGAAGAAGGAAGTGATATTGCAACTCTCATTCAGAATCTGACTTCTTACCTGGTTCACCTAGAGATGAAGTTAGACCAAGTCATTGCCGATAAAGATCTGCTTTTTGCCCAACTGACTACGTTGACCAAGTCAAACAAAAGTAGCTGATGACCAGAGAAGAACAGGCCAGATGACATCAACAACTTTGACCCATAGACTCTCATCAGTTCCTCCCAGTTCTGACTCGTGAAGCGGGTATCTCTATCACTAACAATAGACAACCGGACGCCATGCTCACTAACCCAAAAGTCAAAAAATTTCTGAATCACTAACTCGGTGCGTGCCTCTGCAGGCAAAGGAACAAAAACAACATATTTGCTAAATCTATCAACTATGACCATGACTTGGCTCTTGCCGTGCCTACTCTTGACGCCGGCGTCCATGAAGTCAATGGACAATGAATCTCCTGGCTGATCTGGAACAGGCAAGGGTCTGAGAAGACCTAGTGGGGCACGGGTAGTTGTCTTATTTCTTTGGCAAACTTTACAACTGCGGACATACTCTATGCAGTCGCTCTTCATTCTTGGCCACGTATATGCATGCATCAGGTTGGCTAAAGTCTTTTGCCAACCGAAATGTCCCTCTGTGTCGTGGCATCCCCCTAAGATCAAACTACGGATCTCCTCATTGTTGGGAACGCACAGGCGGTCTACTACATTAGTCTTCTCAAACAACAGTCCCTCTGTAGTGCGGTAGTCTGGTTCGGTCTCTGGGGCCTCCTTGACTCTCTTGAGGAGGTCGCTATAAATAGGGTCATGCGCATACGTCTGTCTAACTTTCTCCTGCAGGTCACTCCCTATATCCAGATAGTGAACTATAGCTCCAAAGTAGTCTGATCTCCTACTTAGAGCATCCACAACTACATTATACTTGCCTTTGACAGGCTTGAGCTCAAAGTCGTATTGGTCTATCTCAGCAGCCCACCTAGTCAACTTGGGTGTCATTTTGGCCTGTCTTCAGCCATCGAAGTGTCTCATGGTCTGAATACACCTTGAAGTGCCTCCCACCTAAGCAGGTAATGCTTCCAGTGCTCTAAGGCCTGCTTGAGAGCGTAGAGTTCTCTCTCGTACGTCGAGGTGGCTACCTTCTCTGAGGGCATCCTCGCTGACATGAACGCTACGGGTCTGTAACCATTGTCGTCGTCTTACTGTAACACGGCGCCTATACCATACCGACTCGCGTCCGTGGTGACGACAAAAGGCAAAGACGGATCTGCTACTTTGAGGACAGGGTACTCTATTAACATGCGCTTCAACTTCTTTAGCGCAGACGTACAATCTCTATCCCACTGCTAGATCGCCTCTTTCTTGAGCAACCTGCGAAGGAAAGCGACGATAGTCGAGAAGTTCCTCACGAACTTCCTATAGTAATTAGCAAGGCCTAGAAACTCAGTCAATGTGCAGGGCGTCGACCAATCTCTAATCGCCGCTATCTTGTTGTCCTCTAGCTTAATGCCATCTCCGTCTAACACGTGGCCCAAGTACAAGACTTGTGTCTTGGCCCACTCGCACTTCTTCGCATTGATCTTGAAGTTAGCCTCTCTCAACTTCTCCAAGACCTGCCTCAAATGACCCTGGTGCTCTTGGAGGGTCCTACTGAACACTAAGATGTCGTTTAAGTAAACTACGACGAATCTATCTAACCAAGGTCTAAACAAATCATTCATACAACGCTGGAATGTAGCAGGTGCGTTGGTCAGTCCAAAGGGCATCACTATGAACTTGCAGTGCCCACACCTAGTCCGGAACGCAGTCTTGTACTGGTCATCAGGACGGACCTCTATCTGATGATACCCGGACTTCAAATCGATCTTTGAAAAATATCTGCAACCCTGCACCCGATCTAAGAGATTGTCTATCCTGGGCAGTGGCTCAGCGTTCTTTACCAAGATCGCAATCAAACCCCTATAGTCTATGCACATACGCAATTCTCCTTCCTTTTTGGGGACGAACAGAACTGCTGCTCCAAAACGAGACGAACTGGGCCTAATCCAACCTTTCTAAAGGAGCTCATCCAACTGCTTGCGCAACTCTTCTAACTCCCTAGGGGACATCATGTAAACTGTCAGGTTCTATTTCTATCCTATGCTGGATCGACCGCGACACTACTCCCGTTGGCGGCTCTGCCAAATCTTTAAACTCTTCCAGCAACTTGGCAATTGTTGGATCCATGGGACCATCCTCTTCCTTAGGCTCAGTGACAAGTCTGACATACACTACGAAGACCTGATCCTCTAACTGCTCCTTCCTCACTAGTCACGCAAACGCGGGAGCACTGAAACAGCAATGTGCCAAGGAGTTATCTACTCCAGACACATGAAACAGGCGGGCAGTCTTAACCTCGCCTCACGGACTAGGGAGCCTACACTCATGCTCTCTCAGAAGGAGTGTGGCCCCTGCTGCCTCTCCCCAATCCATGCCTAGGACGATGTCAAAAGGAAGGTCATCCTGTACAAGGAGAGTCAGGGAATGGAGAACCTTCTCCACCTTCCCATCTTTCTCTAGGCGGAAATACGCCTGGACTCCCTCTACCTAGTCCTCAACACGCATAGTGCGGTTGTCTGCGAGGACACTAACTACGGGGTCTTCCAACTTCTGGACTCTTAACCCTAGCCTTAGCTTCTTCAGCGCTCTGCGGCTAATATAACTACGAGTAGCCCCTGAATCTATACGGGCCCCTACTCTACTTCTGAAAACTTCCACATCAACTAACACTAGTTGTCCTTTACTATCATTCTTCATTTTGGCCCAGGCAGGCATTCGCTCCTTCAAGTCTTATGCCACGCCTGTGAGGGAAGTGCGTAGAGAGATGCTAACACAAGCAGTCTCTGGACAGCTAACTAGGCACGGGCCTGCAACCTCTGCCGAAGGCTCATGTGGTGTGGGAGTTTTCTGTCTGTGCGCGCTCACTTCCCCACATGGCCTCGTAGTAGGGGCAATTGCAACCCCTACCGGCGGCTGCCTTTTGACTCATGGGCAGCCCATCAGGCCTGTCTATACTTAGGACAATATTTAATAATATGGGTCGGGTCACCGCAACATATGCACTACCCCTGGTCCATACGCTATTGCCGACCTCTCTGATCCTGGCCCAGATCTTCCCAAGGCCGGCCTTGTGGCCAACCTGGGTGCCAACCTCCTCTCCTTTGAGGTGACCCTCCACCTCGTCGCTGTGGGGACCGACTGGGACCTTGACGATCTGGTGGGGGACCTTGACCCCTACCTCGCTCTTGGCGGCTCCTTTGACCGCCAACCCCCTGTGGGCCCAGGCCTCCTCCTCTACTTTGCGGCCTCCCTCCAGCCGCGACAGCAGCATAGGTCCTCCCCTGGCCTACACTACTGTCCTCCTCGAGCCCCCACTCGATCTGGCTGTAGGGAACTTCGTCAGTACCACCCTCGTCTAAAGTAAGGATCAAATGATCCTTGGCCCTAACCTAGCCAGATATGGTACGACCTTTCCACTTTTTACCCTTACCTAAGTCCTTGTGTCAGAAAGTGGAAACTGGCATGGACCTCGCCTCCAACAGGACCACTTCTCTACTTAGCGCATCATACGTGATGTTGGCCTGTTGGGTCTTGTCAAAGAAATGCCCTAGCAAGGGCTCTGGCATGGCACGATAGAACAATTGGACCAACTGGGTCTCAGTGACCCCGTGGTCTGGGACGGCTACCAAGTTGTCCATGACAGCTTTGAGTGCTCGCGTACTCCTCCACTGTCGCAAGTGGATGGTTTGCAATTTGTTAGAGACCCTGACGCCTCTCGTGACGTCAGCGAACCTCTCGCGCAGAAAGTGGAGAGAGGGGTGAACCTAGAATATGCAATCATATTATGCTCACAATCAGCAGCGCGCGCAAGGGACCTGGCGAAGCTGGCCGCTTCGCCCTTCAATGCATGGAAGGCTACGAGGACTTGTTCCTCGGGAGCGATATGCTGCAAATACACATGTATTTATGCTAGCCTCCCAGTTACCAAAACTATCGTCCTTTTTCCCGCTATATGCGTCAGGGAATTTGAGCTTTACAAGCTCTTTGCAGGGGGACGCGACGCGGCCTCTGCTGTGGCCACCACTTTGGCGCCTGCGCAAAACTTCTCTGCGCTTTCCTTTAATTTTTTTACTTCGGTCCCGACGTGGGTTACCACGTCGCGCGCAAACTCTCTGAACCCTGACCGAATGGCGTGAAGGGTCACATCTTGACCCTTATTGGCCTAATGCTCCTCAAGTCAAGCGTCACTCAGAACCTCAAGGTACCCAGGATCTTGTCTAACTTCGTGGGGGTCTCTGCCTGTGCCTGCACCTCTTGTCTGCACGCCCGCACTCTCTCCACCTCTCTAGCCATCCGGTTGGCTTCCTCCCTCCTCCTCTTTTTCTCCCTCATCATACGCAACTTCCACTCCAACTTTTTTTCATCTTCTGCCGCTTGGCGTTCCAGGGGCACTTCTCTCTCCTCCTGCGGCACGTACAATAGTGCCTCCTCATCCTCTCCCATGGATAAATTAGCTACCCACTCGCTAATCTTTTTCTCCATCCATTTGTCCTCCTCCTTCGTGCCACTGCTTTCCCCTCGTCCTTCCCTGCGTCTCCTTTCAATGGGCTCATCTTCTACGTCTTCCTCTTCTACCGCTGCTTCTTCGGCAGCCTTCCTCTTCTCTTCCTCCTCCTGCTGTAGCTTCAACATCTCCTCCTTTTGTAACCTCACCGTCTCCTCTTCCAACTTCTTCTTCTTCGCCGCTTGCTCCTCCGCTATCGCCCTCAACTTCGCTTGCTTGAGGAGCTCCTTCTTCTCCCTTCTCTCTCTCAGTGCAGCGGCGGCTTGCTCCTCTTGAGTTTGGGTATAGGGGGCAGTACGCTTCCCACTACGGGTGTCAACCATGGTGTCTGGCGCACAACCGAACAACGGTTCCACTCCTCACCACATAGACTCTACCCCCTGACTGACACGACCTATTGACTCAATCTAAGGACTTACAAAATCCGGACAGGCTGCCAACTAGGGTCTCTAGCCTAGACCTACTCTAAGGCTGTCACTACAGGACCTGTTGCTGATCAGGAGGCATTTAAGGAGATCCCCCGTAACTCCTCAGGAATTATTTAACGTCGCAGACAGGACGACGCGATCAGCAGGTCCTTTCAAGACTTAGACGGCCTGTTGTGCAGCCCACAACTCGGATTTTGGGCCTACTGTGCCACAGCGAGCAGCCCGCCGGTCAGTACCAGTCCTTGGGAGGGTTCGTGTCCTCCGGGACAGTCGAGTCGTCAGACAGTCTTTAGCCCTACTCAGCCCGTGTGGGTTTGGTCAACAAGGCCCTATCTATCACCTGGACAGAAGAGACTCAATGCAGAAACAAGAGACAGACAAACTTGACTCAACAAGTACCACTGGGTGTGTGCACATCCATAGGGCGAGGGAATAGGTTGAAGGCTTGGCGAGATTATACCGGCTCCAGCTTGGTCAAAGTCGTGGTCAACGCCTGGGTCAACGCTGCAGTCAACGCTGCAGTCAACCCCTGGTCAACTCCCGGTCAACTTCATTCAACGCCTGGTCAACTCCGGTCAACGCCCCCGGTCAACCCTTCCGGTCAACTCTTTCGGTCAGCTATGGCTGTCGTCTTCTCCTTCCTCCCCACCCTTCTCCTTCCTTTCTCCTTCCTCGCCGCCTCCTTCTTCACCCCGGCTTTCTTTTTTTTTTTTTTTTTTTTTTTTTTTCCGTTTCTCCCTTCACCTCCTCGGCTATGGTTTCCTTCACTCTCCTCGGTCTCCTCCTCTGTCCCCTCTTTCACCCTTCTCCGTCACTCCGTGGTCGAGCTCCGCGGCTATGGTCGCCTCCTTCCTCTTCACTGGACTACACGGCGGTCTTCACAAGTACGTGACAACCAAATTTATATCGCTCATCTCTCTCTCTCGCCGTAGCGATGTCTTCAACGCAGGTACGTGGTAAACCAATCTTGTATCGTTCAACCTCTCTCTCTCTCTCTCTCTCTCTCTCTCTCTCTCTCTCTCTCTCTCTCCCCTTCTTCGTCGTGGTCTTCTTTGTAGGTGCGCGCAACGGCTTCTTCAACCTCCGGGTCCGTTATGGCGGACTTCTTCTCCGATGGCGACTTCGGCTATGGCGCGTAGCTCTCCCTGCGGCACACGACGGACGCGCGTGGAATAGAGGGTACCAGCTCCGATACCAATGCAATCAGACTCGCTCTCATTCACACTTCGCATGCATGCAAACAGGTGCGCAGCAAACTAGCGACAAGCGCCCACTCGAAACTCGGAGATATTGTAGCCAAGATCTTCAGCTTCCCCCCAATCTGTACCTAGAGAGTGGAAAACGAGTTCCAACTTCCCCTCTGCCTCGAGCCGAAAGTATGTCTGAATCCCCTCAACATATCTATCCAATACAATCTCACTCTTGTTCGCTAGTTCACTTACCACGGGCTCCTCCAACTGTTTTACCTTTAGCCCGATACTAAACTTTTGCAGTCCTTTCTTACTAATATAGCTGCGTGTTGACCCACTGTCAATCATACCGCCTACTCTTACTTTATTGACTTCTAGATCTGCGATAATTAGCTTCCCTTTTCAGTTTTTCATTTCGAACCAGGCTTTGCGACGAGTGGCCAACTCGTCACCCATGCCTGCGAGGGATCCACCTAGGGAGGTACATACACTAACTACCTCTGGACAACTGACTAGGTGGGGATCGTTTATCTTTTCAGTTTCTGCCACGGGAACCTTCGAACGGGAGGATGTCAATCTGCTTGCATCCGAAGTTCCTGTGGAGGCAACTGAAACCCCTACTGGTTGTTCCCTTTTGGTTGTTTTTAATTTGGGCCGAAGGGAACAACGTGGTTGGGGTCACCACATTTGAGGCACTGATCGATGATCTTTCTATCTTGCCAAACGTTTTTTGTAATCCCTAACTTTTCCCAAGGTCTGCCTTCGGGCAAGCCAGGATGGGGTGGATACGGATGATCTCAGTTCTCATTCCACGTGCCTCTTCCTTTTCCCCATGTGGAGTTGGGTCCTCGGCCACCTTGTGAGGGACCATTGCCCCTTCCTCCCACGTAATAGCTTCCTTCGCCACCACCCCTCTGGGTGTCGGGTCCTCTTCCTCCACGACTGCGGTCTCCTCTTCCTCTGCCACGGCCTCTTCCTTGTCGCCCTCCCCCGCGGGCTGCAACGGCCGCGTAGTACCCCTCCTGAACTACCGATCCGTTGTGTGCACCTCCCTCCAGACCATAGTCTATCTGATCATAGGAAAGAGTTTCGACACCTCCTCCTTCAAAGGTCAAAAAAAGGTTGTCTTTCCCATGAATACTTCTTGAGATGGTATGGTTTTGTCATTTCTTGCCGGCTTGCCTCCGCCAAGAAACCGGCATGATCTAATGTGATCTTGCTCAACTTCTCATAAGTCATCCCCTCTTCCTTGGTACGGGCATATAGTTGAGTGCAGAGAGGATCTGGTAGTAGTCGAGGTGAGTCCATGTTCGGCGCATTGCAGAAGTTCGTCCATGGTAGATTACAGTGCGGATACACTTTTCCATTTCCTATCCGCGATATTCAGGATTAGCATTTCAGTTCTCCGGGCTAAGTTTTTATCTTCAAATCGTTCCCGGACCGCTTTAAAGAAATCTTCAATACGGGTTTGCTGGGAATACTCTACCATAGGCTGACAATTAGCTTCTTTCTGCAGGGAGATTGCAAAACTCATTGCATCTCCGGCCATATACGAACTAGCCATGAGAACCCTATCCCAATACGGTATACGCTGCCCGTACACGTAGGACTCAACCGCAACAAGCCAATGTAAAACGCTTTCTTCTTTTTGCTGGTGTATGGCCACGACACCTTTACTTTTATCTTTATGACTTCCCCTGCATCTTCTTGCAGCACACCCTTCTTCTTCCTATCTCCGTCTCCATCACCTTTTCCATCTCCTCCGCCGCTACTTACCAATTTCTCAATCACGACGGGTGTTAAAGTTTTACTGGTCTGCTCATCTAATTTTACGATGTATGCTTGACATGTTGGTCAACTTTTGCTGCAGATCTCTGTAAGAAGGTATTCCAAACTCCCTCAAATTCATACTGATGGGCTTCAACTTTCTGCAAGGTCTTGCGCATCGATGCTAACTCTTGCTTTGTATGGAGAACAATTGCTGTCAAGAGGGCAAGTTGTTCTTCGGTTGCTGTTTGTTTTTCTTTCCTCGCCTATAATTCTCCTTGCAACCTTTCACCCTCTACCTGCAGTCTTTTTCTCTCTTCCAGCTCTTGTCGCTTTGCAGCTAACATTTCGTTGTGCAATTCAGTTCGTTTTTCCTCCAGCTCCTTTTCCCTTTTATCTTTAATGGATGCCAATTTTGGGACTGACCTGTATATTCAACCCACCTGTATGACTGCTTTCGCCCCTTTCAGACCGACGTCTGATGAGTATGTCTGCGTCATCTGCAGGTTCATCTTCTTCCTGTATAGTCTTTAATTCTTCCTGCAATTCTTTTTCCAACTCTTTCAACTCTTTTTTAATTATTTTTTTCTTCTATTTGAGTTTTCTTCCTCAACTCTTCTTCTTTTTGATTATTTTTCTGCTCCTTTTCTTTCTTTTTCTCGACTAGGCGGCGGTCTACTTCTGCTTGCTCTGCCGTTGAGAGTCCGGGCTTTGCTGTTCCGGATCTCATCATCATGCGCCCACACTCTCCTGAAGCCGAGAGGGGAAAAAGAAACGGAATAGTGGCGCCAAAAGAACAGACAGAGCCACGGTCCCGTACATGGGATAGTCATCCATGGTGGGGTACAGCACAGGGGAGACCTCCGGTGGACCACCAAGTAGCTACCCAAGAACCTAGTTTACCTGAGTGGATGGGAGTTTTTTTTTTTTTTTTTTTTCAAGTCTGGATGTCGCTGCTTAAAATAACGAGATTCAACAATGCAGGAAATATATAACGTTTTCCTAATCAATGTACAAAGTAGGAACCACCTTTTTTTTCCCCCCCTCTTCCTTTGTCTGCTGCCTGTCTAAGTACTTAACTGGTCTGTCTGGTCACTTTCGTTAGAGAAGGTAGCTAGGAGATACTAAAATAAAACAAATCCAATTTATCACGATTTTCTTTGTTCTCAGCCACTTACACTCTAATGTGGCAGTGCACAGTTCCCTGACTCAAACTTCCTTCCCTACCTATCGATAGACCAGATGGATAACACGAAGACCAGATGTTGACTCTCTAGTCCTATCTGTCAGATCAGACCAGGCCACAGGTTTCGTCCAGACAGGAGCAGTGACCACCAGAAAGGAGGGGGAAGAGATACACAACACACAGGTTTGCAATCAATCGATGTTACATGCTGCGCCTGCAACAGGCTGCACGGGCCAGTTTCAGGCCCGTGACATTTTCAGGCCAAAAGCCTGAAAACAAGGGCCTACAGGCCCTGTGTCGTTTCAACCTGAAAGCTTGAAAACAAGGGCCTACCGGCCCTGTGTCGTTTCAGCCTAAATCACGGCCTTTCCGGCCCTGAGTCTTTTCAGTCTGAAACTGCCATTTTCAGGCCCTCATGAGTTCAGCCTGCCCCGAAACTCAGGCACCAAACCAGGGTTTTATTTCATGCCATTTTTGGCCTATTTTCAAGACAACCTTCGTTTGGGCTTCAACCCCAGGGTCTGGCACGTTTTGGCATTGGCAAGAGCAGCCTCCTGGACGGGCCAGCACTATAAAGGACTGGCCCGCCCTCCCGGCTGCACGTAGTTCCTAGGTACTTCCCAGGCACTTCACGTGCAGTTCAGGAGGCAGGAGGTAGTCTTCAGGATTCGGCAGCAGCACTCTGGAGGAGCGCTGCATGAGTAGTAGTAGCGTTAGCAGTAGTCTTCAGCGCTGGGCGCTAGTAGCAGTAGTTGTAGTCTTCGTTGGGCGCGATAGCAGCTAGAGTAGGACTATAGAGAGAGAGATTGGGCAAAAGCCAGAGGGACTTACCTGCAGCGCCATCGCTCCAGCTTCGTCTTCGAGTACCTGCAGCACAGCGCCACCTTCACAGGTTAGTACCTGGCATACGAGAGAGAGAGAGAGAGTTCTTCTTCTTCCTCTTCTCAGTCCACCATCTCCCTCTCACCCTCTCGTTATCCGACTTCACTACATCAGCAGACTATGAGAGAGAGAGAGAGAGAGAGCTTGGTGACATTTGGATCCAGACTTGACATTGGACTTCAAACATTTTGACGAGGGATTATGTGGGACTTGTAACGAGACTTGGTGTTGACGACTTTCCCATCTCTCCCCTCCTCTTCTCCGTCTGATCCTCTCCTCTTCGTCTGTGCATGAAATGGACCTGGCGCCTCTTCCTGTGTATAACGTCAGGCTCCCTTCACACCGTGTGGTGAGAATGATGTATGTTTGGTCTGCGTTGTAACATTGATTGGGCTAGTCATTAGTATTCTACTATTCTGCCGCGCTACCTTGTACTACGTGAAAGAGATCAGTCCCGGTCAGGTCAAGACTTGTATCTAAGACTTCCACTGCGCTATAAAGCACCATTCTTGTATGTATCAGAATGCACACTGATGGTTGAGATTCTACTTGCACTGCGTCGTCCATTCAGTCCTTTTTATCACATTGCGGATCCTTGGTTTATATATACATCGCCCAACTGGGCATGTAACAATCGAGGTAAGTGGGGCAGGAGGTTCTTCTCTTCTTTGTAGCCATTGATAAAGACTCGACGTTTGCTCCAATCATTCCAATCGCTCCAACGACAGATAAGTCTTCTCCTCCTTAGCCCCCCTTCTTCTTCGGCCAACTTCCCCCTCTATCCCAATCGAACTCCTCTTCACCTCAACTCTCGCCAGCTATACTCAAGCCAGCTTATACTTCTTGCCGGCCTTGATCATGCCAGCGCGTCCAGTGAGTAACAAGTGTGCTGCTCTGATACCAAATTTGCAAGGAACCCGACTGTTCATCACTTGCTGGAGTGCATCAGATCACATGCATACACACAGATTTCACAGATTGCAATGTCTCACACAAAACCCAATAGAAGATGAAATGAGAACCAGGAAGCTCAACTCAATTATCATAACCAGATTTAAGAGAGGAATTTCATGACTCCAAAATGTATAGCGCTGAACAGAGTTACAAGTCTTCTTCGATCAACATGAGTTCCAAGCCTGGCGCTCATCAGCGCCTGCTGCCAAACGTAAAAAACAGCGCTCAACATGTTAAGTGTGACCATAGCTCACACTTCCCCCACTCTCGTCTGCCTTCTTCTCTCTCTCCCTCTACGTCTATAGTCCTGGTCTACCCTCACTCATCATGCATGCACACTCCCTATCACACGTGGATCTACTCTGAATGCTACTCACTGGTGTCTCCTACTGACTATCCCTACAAACATACTAACTAGTACTGGCGCAGGTATGGCTGCCCTTCTTCCAGCCAGCGCTCTTCTTCTATTCTTCACACGTAACGCTGCTCTCAGCCTAGCGCAGCTCACGCATATCTAGTGCACAAGTGCCACGACACTTCCACACTCTCATGCGAAGTGAGCATCTGCCAAATGGGAGGCTGGCCAGTCCTTTATAGTGTTCGACTGGTCTGGCGTGGCCTGCGTTCAGCCTCAAGTGTGCCTGGGACTCCTGCCCAGAACCTTCTGTTGCAAAGTGTGTGTCCAGTATCTTTTCCCATGGTCTGCTGCTGCTTTGGGCCATCGGGCCTGTCCTTTGGACTCCTGGTATGAATCAGGACTGACTCGTGGGATTATGACTGAACTGGGACTGTGGCCTTTGACTCATTTCCGAACAGACATGACTTTCCATCGAGGAGACATGACCCCTAACTCAATCTAGAAAACTGTGTCCAATACCTGTTCATGCAGGACCTGTGTGTGACTGTTCAAAACGACTTTTCATTTCATTATGGATGCGACATTTGCCTCAGGAACTTTGTCTTTTGGGTTGCAGCTTGTGAATTTAAGTTCTGGCCGACAGGGCCCCTCGCTGTTGGGGCATTCATCTGGGGTCTAATTCGTAAAGGCCCCTTTAGGTTAGCCTGCCACTACTAATTAGTGTATGCTGTGTAGGTTAGGTTCGTGATTAGGGTCATAATTAGGGTTATAACCCGTAATTATGCTAACGGTGCAATGAACTGCTGCTGCTGACCCTAATCAATGCACGTACTACCCTTATTAGCGCTAGTTATTTAGCGCTGCCCTTAACTCCCGTGAGCGTTGTGCAAGGAATATGAGTGTGAAGGATATACAGAAAACCAAGTTGCGAAATCACACAGATGTCCAGGTAGTCGTAACCAAATAGAGAGTACAAAATGCACCGAGAAACCATCCATATAGAGCAATAAAATGAAGTAATGAGCCAATGTCCAAGCCCGTAGGCCACACCAACACAGTATCCAAAGTCGCTCCTCTCTGTCGTGCGCCCAACGCCCAGCCTACTCTACCCGACTACCCTACCTAGAGCTGGTTCACGCAACAGGCTCACTTCGACTCTCGAAGACCAATGTACATGATTGTCACCACCATAGCCAACCTCTCTTCATGCACCAGGTACGTATCTCGTCACCCTCAATCAGACCTTGATTACCCCACACTCGCCTCCTTCCCCGAAGACCACCCGATCGCCCGCATTACCCCCTGGCGCCCAGCAGCCCGGCTATGGCTGCCTGCGCCCCGCTGCCCTGCAGCGCCCACTTCACCACTACGCGCCCCGTCAACGCCCTTGGCAGCAGCGCAGCATCAAGGGATAGCGCAGCAGCACTTCCTCATTGCCTGCACTGGCCAGAATGCCTGGCCTGGGCTGCCTCACTTCTTTTATGGAAGTGGCAGCCTCCTGGATGTTGGTTGTGGCCTGGCTGGAAGCTTCCAGTAGCTTCCGGTTGGGCCTCAAACCCTGTGCCCAGGCCCGAGACTACAGTTGAGGGCCTGGGCCCTTTTCGTTGGGCACGGCCTGAGTCTGCGGACTTGGGCTGTTTGCTGCATCTGTGCAGGACTCCCACGGACTTGGGCTGTTTGCTGCATCTGTGCAGGGCTCCCACGTAGGTGCGTCGACAGTTTTGCTTTTCCAAACGCCAATGGCCTGCTTCCCAATGTATTGGCCCTGCTTTGTGTGTATGTGCTCAGGCACAACTGTCAAGGACTGGGCCAACTGTACGACACAACTTAGCGAGGCTCACGCGTCTACCCAACCAACTAGCGTGCTGCGAGAGCCTGAATACCCACATATGGAAATGTCGAATTTTGGCCTCTGGCGAATATTTAGGCCCGCCTTCACTTAGGGCGGGCACTCGGCTTGCTGGGGGCCTTTAGCCCAAAACATGTGATGTTTGATAGGGCCTCTTGAGGGCTTGTTCCTCACATTCCATCCCCCTTAGCTTCGAAAGTCCGCTAAGATGCTTCATGTTGGTGCCTTCCCCTTCAGTTTCTTCTCATAATCTGCCACGATATGAGGAGCTGTCTTGACAAGTTCCTCCCATGAAATCCATCAATCTTCCTTAGGATCCGTATGATGCTTGAAATTCACTCTGTACTCCCTTGCTGGCTTAGGAGGTCTACCCCTGTTGGGTGGCTTGGGAACAAGCGTGTCTCTGTGGTCCAAGATATCGTCGACGTCGACGTGGCCATCCATGGTTGGGGGCAGCATAGATCTCCGTGATGGGAACTGTGCTGTCTTAGCGAAAGGAGCAAGCTTGGAGGCGTGAAAAACAGGGTAAGTGCGTAGGTGACCAGGGATACGAATGACGTACGAGGGACCATCCAAATCATTCCCCACAATGTCTAAGACTTCCCAGGGACCGAAATACTGAGGCATTAGTTTCTTAGAGATGCCAAATTCCTGTCCCAACTCACTAGCCTTGACCTAGACACGTTCCCCTACCTGAAATGTGGACTGTCGGCGACATTTATTCTCAGAAGCAATCATAGCTTCCTGAGATTTCTTGATGTGTTCCACAGTCTGCTGCAACAATTTCTCATACTGGCCACCAAATTCAATGGTTCAAGGAGTTGCAGTAGTTTGGTTTTCAGGCAGGAGGAAGTCTAGACCAGATCTAGGCTTCCATCCCAGATGCAGTTGATTAGGACTGGCGCTGGTGGTGTTGTGTACAACATTATTGTACAGACTGGCGATGAGAGGTAGTTTCTCATTCCAATCATCCTGGTTGGGCTTGATGTAATGCCTCAGAAGATGCTGCACCACACGGTTCATCTGTTCATCCTGCCCATTTGCTTCGGGATGATTCCCAGAACTGAAGTTGGTTGTCCATCTGTTCAGCAGCCTTCTTCCACATCTCGCTGGTAAACCGGACATCTATATTACTAACAATGGTCTTTGGCATTCCAAAGTCACGCACCTAGTTGTCCATGAACAACTTAATGACGTGCTCAGTCCTGGCAGTCTCCGGCATGGCAATTAGTCTAGCATATTTAGTGAACCTATCTACTATGATGAAGATGTGCCGTTTGCCATTCTTGCTGGTCACGAGAGTATCCATGAAGTCCACAGAGATGCTCTGCCCTGGGCCAGCAGGAATGGGTAGAGGCTTGAGCGACCCAAGCAGAGCTTGATTCCGCGGCTTGTCCCGCTGACAGACCTGACAGGTCTCTACGTACTTCTCTGCATCGTCTATCATGTTAGGCCACCAGAATCGATGTACTAAATTAGCAATAGTCTTCCTGTAGCTGAAATGTACCATTGCATTGTGACACTTACCTAAAAATAAACTACGCAAAATCTCCCTAGATGGAACAACTAACCTTTTAAACCCTGCCTTTTCAAGAAAGAGTAACCCATCCACCATCACAAACTCGTCAGAGGTGGCCTTGTCTTTGGCCTGCAGTTTGTTGATGATGTCGATTGTGATGGGATCTTCCTTGTAGGCTTCCCCCAAAGATCGAGTAACGTCCTCAGACAAGCCAAACTCAGAGATCAATGCACCTAGGTAATCTGCCTTGCGAGACAACACATCCGCAACCTTGTTGTACTCTCCCTTCACATAGTCTAGTTTGAAGTCATACTGATCTATGACTTCAATCCAGCGTTTGAGTGCATCGGAGAGAACAGGTTGGGTCTTGATCCACTTGAGGGTCTGATGGTCAGTTCTCAAGTAGAAGAACCTTCCTAACAAATAGTGCCTCCAGTGGACAAGTGCCTTGTAGAGAGCATAGAGTTCCCTTTCGTAGGTGGACTTTGTCAACTTCTTTGATGGCATCTTTTTTCTCATGTACTCGGCCGGTATCAACTTTTTCCCTTCCTGCTGAGCCAACACTGCGCCAATGCCATATTGGCTTGCGTCGGTGGTTACAACGAATGGCCTTTGTGGGTAAGGTACCATGAGAACTTCATGGTGTGTGAGAGCATGATTCAATTGCTTGAATGCTGCCTCACACTCGTAGGTCCAGTCCCATGGCATGTCAAGTCGAGTTAGATCAGTCAAGGGAGATGCGATCGTACTATAATTCTTTACGAAATTGAATTTATATCCACACATTCCCAAGAATGATATGACCTCAGTCACAGACTGGGGTCGTGGCCAGTCCCTAATGCTAGCCACCTTCGCATCTTCGGGCCTAATCCCTTTCGCGGATACTTCATGACCCAAGTACAAAATTTGAGTGCGACCGAACTCGCATTTCTCTAGGTTTATCTTATACTTGTGCTGTCGAAGGAGTGGAAATGCCTTGTCTACATGTTGAGCATGCTCCTCGACAGTCTAACTAAAGATAAGTATGTTGTTGAGGTACACGACAACGAACTTATTCAAGTAGTCATGGAAGATCCTATTCATGGCGCACTGGAATGTACCCGGCGCATTGCAAAGGCCAAAGGGCATCACCATGAACTCGTACAGAACGTACCTGGTCTAGAATGCGGTTTTCTGCTGGTCCTCTGGTCTTATGGCAATCTGATGGTAGTCGGATTTTAAGTCTATCTTGGTATAGTACTTACACCCCTGCACCCTATCCAATAGGTCGTCGATGCGCGGTAGAGGCTCTGCGTTCTTAACGGTGATGGCATTGAGGCTTGTATAATCAATGCACATCCTTAGTGTTCCCCCTTTCTTTGGTGAGCCAAAGGGGGAGGTGCTAGGCCGAATCCAACCCTTCTCTGTGAGCTCTTTCAGTTGTCGACAAAGCTCATCCAACTTGGCCGGAGCCATCCTATAGATCCTCCCTTTAGGTGTCTTGCTACCTGGGATAATCTCTATGGCATGGACAACCTCCCTGTCTACGACTCCTGTAGGCTCCTCGGACCGATCAGGGTACTTAGCGACGATGGTCTCTATCTCTCGGGATGTTTTAATGGCCTCCCCTTTTGCAGTGACATAGACTAAGTACATTCCTTCCTCTTGGTTCTGTTTATAATAGTTATAGAAGGTAGATGCGCTAAGCACCCATAGGAGTCTATTAACCTACTGGCTTTATACTTAGCCAGTCTAACGGTTCTCCCATTAGGCAACTCGTGCTTCAACACCTTCTTGTCCCAATCAAACTGGGGCTTGGCAACCTCGAGGTAGAACATGCCCAACAACATGTCAAAGGGCAAATCGTCGCTCACCAAGAATGTTATCTTATCGCTTATCTCTTCCACCAACATGCACTCTTTGTTGGCCAGAGTAGATGTTACCAATCTACTCAGGCGTTGCACCCAGTCCTTTAGGCGCAATCTCTCAACACAGTCACGACTTATGAAGTTTCGCGTGGAGCCAATGTCTACGAAGGCGCCGCACTTGCGACCACCCACACCACTTCCACAACGAAGTGCTCCCCTCTAGGACCTCTATTTAGTGCCACCCAGGACTCACGAGGGTCCCTTGCCGTCCACTCACGTTGAAGGTCCTCTAAGGCTTCATATACATCCAAATTACAAAGTATAGTTGGGTCCGGATGCATCTGCGGGGTGACTGAGGAGTCAATAGCTTCGGCCAACTCTTGAAACAGGGAGGGTACATCACCCACTTCAACAAGAGTAGCAGCAGCTACAACTTCTATCGGCCCTAAGTGTTTCCCGAGCTCGAGCTCGTAGAGGCCCCAGACTAAAAAGAAATATACCCACCCTTAGGAGGGATCTCCTGCGAGACCTACGGGTTCTTGCACTTAAACTGCGTATGGTCGTACTTGCCGCAGTTTATGCAAGCACCCCGCTGCCAACGGTTGCGCCACACTTCCTGATCCAAACCGACCCTAACCCAAGCAACTATTTTGTTGGGTTGGCGGCTTGCCCCTGACTCCTTTGCTGACCGCCCTTGCGGCAGGCCACCTGCCTTAGTGTTAACTATTGCGGCGAGGTTGCTACCCTTAGCACTCTCCTCACCGTCAAACGCTGCACTCTCCACAAGTTCAAAAACATCATCGATCTCAGTTTGATTCCCAGCGGAATCAACCATCACCAATCGATTACCCTTCTTCTTCCATTCGTGTGGGGTCTTGGGGTTTGAGCACCACCCAGTGTAGCCTCTAAATCTAGGGCCTTCTTATTGAATGTCTAAAACGTGTGATACTCTAAACGAGCCTCGCTACCTAAGAGGTTCTTGATGTCTGTGGGAAGACATCTCAAGAACGTGGTTAATAAGACCTGTGGATTACACTCCACTCCTAGGACGACAATCAACCGCTCCACGGTTGTGGTCAGCTCTCTCACAGACTTGTACTTCCTAGAGTCAAGTTTTAGTAGCCCATCAGTGGCAATCTGTGTCTGCTGAGGGTTGTGCCATTGAGCCTCTGCTATATCCATAAAGCTTTAAGGGTATGGGTCTTGGCCCAATCACCCATGTTTCTGCCGAACCCTTTTGAAGCCACTAAATCCATTTAGCCAGCGAGTTGCTGAACCCTCTAAGTAGGATGCAACAGTAATTACCTCCTCCTCTATCAGCGCCCTCTTCACCCTAACCCACACTGAAACCGTTCTCAACCAAGTGTCGAGTGCCTCATCCTTCTCATCTCCTGAGAAGGTTGGAGGTGGTTTCAGAGGGGTCTTGGGGTACCAAGGTTGCTGCTGTCCCACTGGTCAGACAGGTGGCAGCTGTGGTGTAGCTCAAGCCGCTGGACCAGAAGATGAAGAAGCAACAGTCAGTGACAGAATGGCAGCGATGGCAGAACTGCTGGCCTGATTCCTGGCCTATGCATGGCATTCAGGATCTGGTCCAAGGTGTCTTGGATTGTATCCAGTTTGCTGTCCATATATGCGTGCATGGACAGGATGCTCGCCTTAAAAATCTTTTCAGTATTACTAAGGGTCTAGTCATCTAACCCCTCCAGTGCAGCTTTGTCTGCCTCCCTACCCTCTAGTCTGACACTCGTGTCTCTAATCTCTTTCTCTCTTTTAGTAGCCTGTTTAAGTTCCTCCTCTAGCCTCAAGCGAATCCTTTCTACCTGCTCGAGCTCCATCTGCTCCCGGGTGCGTGGAGGCAGCGAGCTGAACTGCGAACCCGCCATCTGACTAGTGCCAGCTCCTGGCGTACTGGAGATGGACTGTGAACTGGTCGCGTTGAGTGGCACGCCCAAACTCTGACCAGTAGAGTTTGCAGCAGAAGTGGCTGAAGAGGTAGCCATTGCTATTGCGCTAGCTGCTGCTGCTGCCAACACCCGTTCAGCCGCTGCTGCGGCCTATCTCGCAGTCTCTAGATTATGGGCCCTTGCTTCAGCCCTAAGTCTTCTCTCCTCTCCTAGTAGTATAACCTGGAACAGTACGGGTATCCTACTGGTCCCCCGTCGTGTCTGCCTCCTATCGTCAGATGTATCTTCACCACCCTCAGATTCACTCAGGGACTAGGCAAATGTTGTCTGCACTAATGTCCTCTTTGGGACCTACCACAACATGCGTCTGACCGATTCTAAAAATAAATAAAATAAACAATGTCCGGCGAGTTACCTAGACTACTAATCAAATGGCATCAACAACACTTACACGGACTATGTAGTTTACTTCTATCCTGATTGGTTCTGCACAGAAGCTTTGAGAAGAGCTGACTATGGTGGATTACAGTCCTACGCTAGGCTGTCTGTTAGGTGTTAGCAGTCTGTCAACCAACTAATCAGGATAAAAATAACTACAATGAGCAGATGTATGCACAATGGATATGATAGTGATGTTCTGTAGAGTTCACAATCAGAATCCCCTTCCCCTGTATCCAACGTACCTGCGAGCATCATCAAGCTCCGGTGTCTAAGGTGTGCAATCACGGCCCACCCTTGTGCCCAAGGTGTATGCTTATGACCAGCCTGCCCTTTGTTTACCCTCGCATGCAACGAGCCTTACGTCCGACTGATCTGGCTGATCAAGAGGCAATTTAAGGACAGACCCCGAGAGTCCTCAAGAAATATTTAACGTCGCAATCAGGATGACGATCACAGCCAGTGGACAGATCGGACCCCAACCAGAAATATTTATAGACAGCCTGGGAGGGTCTGCATTAGGACTGGTCAGTCCACAAAGAGCCTTAATGGACAAAGCAGCAAAGCCTGCGTGTACTACTTCCATGGGTTGCCATGGTGACCGTGACCCGTGCTTCGACCAGGGCCCTTCAGAGGCACCGCCCTCTCCTGCCAGATGCGCCACCGGGAAGAATGTCGTCTTTCAAGGCACACAACTCCTCACCAAAGAGAGGACACTAATATTGGACTCACTTCCTCACGGTAAGAGACTGAGAGGGTAGATAAGGAATGGGAACAACGTACCTGGAGATAGCTGCCCCCAACCACAGATTTCTCACCAATTGGGCCGACATGCATTTCGATGACCGGTCAACAGCCTCGGTACCACCCACAGCGCAATGCAGTGCCACCTCAATGTCACGTAAGCATACTCTCATCATCATACATACATCCACTGTCGCCACAGCTCCCACGCTGTCACCACAGCCATCAAGCGGTCGACCTCTCCAGCTAGGCCCCGCTAAATCAAACCAGCGCCAAGCATCCTTACTGCACATGAATCATGATCAGCGCACCAAGTAACAATGTCGTCGGTGCCAAGTAAGCAGAGATCACGAACCTCGCTCTGATACCAAATTTGCAAGGAATATGAGTGTGAACGATATACAGAAAATCAAGTTGCGAAATCACACAGATGTCCAGGTGGTCGTAACCAAGTAGAGCGTACAAAATGCACTGAGAAACCATCCATATAGAGCAAAACAATGGAGTAATGAGCCAATGTTCAAGCCCGTAGTCCACACCAACACAGTATCCAAAGTCGCTCCTCTTTGTCTGGCACCCAGCGCCCAGCCTACTCTACCCGACTACCCTACCTACAGCTGGTTCACGCAACAGGCTCACTTCGACTCTCGAAGACCAATGTACATGACTCTCAACACCATAGCCGACCTCTCTTCATGCACCAGGTACGTATCTCGTCACCCTCCTGAAGGCCACCCAATCGCCCGCATTACCCCCTGGCGCCCAGCAGCCCGGCTATGGCTGCCTGCGCCCTGCTGCCCTGCAGCGCCCCACTTCACCACCACGCGCCCCGTCAGCGCCCTTGGCAGCAGCGCAGCATCAAGCGATAGCGCAGCAGCACTTCCGCATTGCCTGCACTGGCCAGAATKYCTGGCCTGGGCTG